TAGTGATATTTGAGTTACAGTAAAAATTCTACTGTTCGCTATTCTGATGACTTACAATGTGCAATTAAGGTAGAGTTATTTTTTATTAGAATTATCGTAATTTATATTGTGAGTTGCTATAAAAATTTTGGTATAGTACTTACTTGCTATTTAGTAACACAGTATGTTGTTAAGCTTGAGTTGGTTCATATTGGAATTGTCATGAGTTACTGTTATAGAACTTACCGGTACACACGGTGTGTATAGTTAAAGTTGAGTTAATTTGTATTGGAATCATCATGATTTTTATCATGATTACTGTAAAAATTATGTTACAGTGTGATTGGGTTAGTTTATACTGAAAGTTATCATTAATTAACAAGAAATTCAAATGTTAAGAAACCTACTTGCGGTAATACACTGTAAGTGTTAAGGATAAATTAGGTTAAAGATGCCGAAAGACTCGCAATGATGACTCCGAAAGCAACAAAAACTCATTGATGATGACAGAATCGTACCAAAGATTGCTCCAATAATAACAACTCCAAACGACATCACCTAAAAGCACAAAAAAATCAAATCAAAGTCAATAAGATAAACCCTGGTGAACAGAAACACCTCTAGTCAAAGGCAAGCAAAAAAAAAAAAAAAGAAGTCAAAATAAAGCAACTGGTTTTATTTGTTTTGTGTTTATGGTTACAATGCTGCAATGATTTGCTAACTTATTTTTTTTGTCTCTTTCTAGGTATTTCAATTGGAGTGGTGATATCATGTTTTTTATTTTCTTTTTTTTTTATTCATTTCTTCTTTCTCCACCTCCTCTTCCTCCTCTCTCTCCTCTTCTTCCTCTCCCTCCTCTTCCTCCTCTCTCTCCTCTTCTTTCTCTCTTTCCTCTTCTTCCTCTTGTTTCTCCTCTTTTTCTCGTTCCTCCTCTTCTTTCTCTCTTTCCTCTTCTTCCTCTCATTCCTCCTCTTGTTTCTCTTCTTCCTCATTAACTATTGTCCACTCTGGAAAACCTTCAGGTGGTGGTTCAGTTAATATAAAAGATATACGCCATCATAGTCATTTATATTTAGGAACCATAATGGTATCAAAAACATCATGAAATAATTCACGTAACTATGTTTTTAATGTAAAAAAAGACACTAAGTTTGAATATTATACTGTAATATTAGATTAAAGTGTCTAGACTTATGTGATTTCGGGAATTTTTCATTGTTTGAACAATGAAAAATCCCTGAAATTGCATAAGTCTGGACACTCTATATCAGATATATATTTACAAATATTAAAAATTCAGTACCTCTTGTGATCTCCATGACAAGTCACATATATTAATGTATATATTTTCTTCTTCATCCATTTCGTTATCTGCATTAGATAGTTCGGGCGAATAGGCATCACAAGTTCCTAAGATTTCTTTCATTTCATCCAAATCATATGACATAATATGACTGTCTTTTTTTGAATGCAGATATTTATATGCTGCTACTCAACGAGACATTTTTTATAAAAAGTATTAAAAAATAAATAAAATAAATAAATAAAAATAAATAAATAAAATTAAATAAATAAAGTGATAATATAACTAGTCAAATTCTAGCCCTAATACCAACACCTATTTAACTGACATCACATGGGTGAAAATTTACTATTACTATATGCCACTGCTTATAGTATCCTCAAATAATACCCCTATAATTAAGACTCGGGTATCACTACCAATCTGCTTCATAAATAAGATCCGGGATTATAACTATAGGCACTATTTAATTTTAAAATAGAGTTCCTGAATAAGACCTAGGTACTGTAAGCAGTAGCATATAGTAATATATGTAACTAATAAAATGCTAATCCTAACCCTATGCAATGTTGGTTAAATGTCAAAAAAATAAGATCAACCCATCCTAATGACTGTTAAAATGAGCAGCGCTGAATAAAATTCTTACATCAGCTCGACGCGTGTTTTTGTGAATTCTTTCATCGAAGTGATCAGACCGGACTGGATCTGCTTGGACAGATTGAAGATTCCTTTTTGATCTTAGTCATTGCTTTAATATATCTGATAGCTCATTTCTGTTGGTGTCATATCGATATTCAAAAACTTCGAGAAGCACAAAAATAGTATTTTTTGCTAGCTGAACTTTTTGTTCGGCCCAAGTATAATTGCGATCTAAATCATAATCTTCGCCCCTTTCATCCAGTAAAATAAAAACCTCTCTCTACAACAATAATATAAAAAAAATTTTTGCAATTAATTATTGCATATCAATATATATATATACCCATCAAAATCGGATTTGCCTTACTTCACTTTACCAAAAGCTCACTTAGCTGACATCATGCAACTAATAAAATTAACCCTAATTCATATATGATGTCTGAGTGAACTTTTGGTGAAATGATTGTTGGTGAAGTGAGTAACAAATTAAAATTATCATGATTCAGATCGGGCTGCCTCAAACGAGAATTTTTGTAACAGTATTTTTGCAGAATTAGGGTTTTAGAATTAGGGTTAGTTAGGATTAAGTTAAAATATAAAAACTTTAGTTGTATAAGGGAGTGTCAGATATCAGCTGATATCATAGGGTAAGAGGGTAGACAAAATCTCAATCTAGTATGCATATAACCACTAAAGTTCTCAGGAAGGTAAGCTCTATGATTTCAGCTAATATCTGACATGTCCCTAACGACAATAAATTACAATATTCTTATTCAGGAAGATTCTGATCAGAGGTACATGCAAAGAAAAATTATAAATTAATCTAAAATCTTCTATATATAAAATTATAGATTAGATTAATTTATAAATTTTTAATAATTATTATATATTAATATTAATAATATACTCGAAGTGCATTTTTTCATTTTCTTTTACACAAACTAAATCTGTTAATTCTCTTTCGTCTCTAAGCTCAGGCAGGAAGCATGGTATTTACTCTAAGTTTTTTTTTAAAAAAAAAAATTCTGGATAGTATATATATTATTTTTCAGACTAAAACTATTTGTAATAATATTTTATTTTTAAAAAATCAGCAAAGTTGGAGGAATATCAACGAAATTCTTGCAGTTCAAAGACAGCAAGAACACTCTATTTTGACTATGGAAAATACTTTAAATAATATATTAGCTTCATTAGAATCTTTAAATAGTAAATTGACTCATTAAATCAGGCTAGAAGTCAGAGAGGATTAGAAGTTGGTGAAACCTTAGCAGCTACGCAACAAAGACCACAATTTAAAAATAAAAGAAAATGAAAAAATGCACTTCGAGTATATTATTAATATTAATATATAATAATTATTAAAAATTTATAAATTAATCTAATCTATAATTTTATATATAGAAGATTTTAGATTAATTTATAATTTTTCTTTGCATGTACCTCTGATCAGAATCTTCCTGAATAAGAATATTGTAATTTATTGTCGTTAGGGACATGTCAGATATTAGCTGAAATCATAGAGCTTACCTTCCTGAGAACTTTAGTGGTTATATGCATACTAGATTGAGATTTTGTCTACCCTCTTACCCTATGATATCAGCTGATATCTGACACTCCCTTATACAACTAAAGTTTTTATATTTTAACTTAATCCTAACTAACCCTAATTCTAAAACCCTAATTCTGCAAAAATACTGTTACAAAAATTCTCGTTTGAGGCAGCCCGATCTGAATCATGATAATTTTAATTTGTTACTCACTTCACCAACAATCATTTCACCAAAAGTTCACTCAGACATCATATATGAATTAGGGTTAATTTTATTAGTTGCATGATGTCAGCTAAGTGAGCTTTTGGTAAAGTGAAGTAAGGCAAATCCGATTTTGATGGGTATATATATATATTGATATGCAATAATTAATTGCAAAAATTTTTTTTATATTATTGTTGTAGAGAGAGGTTTTTATTTTACTGGATGAAAGGGGCGAAGATTATGATTTAGATCGCAATTATACTTGGGCCGAACAAAAAGTTCAGCTAGCAAAAAATACTATTTTTGTGCTTCTCGAAGTTTTTGAATATCGATATGACACCAACAGAAATGAGCTATCAGATATATTAAAGCAATGACTAAGATCAAAAAGGAATCTTCAATCTGTCCAAGCAGATCCAGTCCGGTCTGATCACTTCGATGAAAGAATTCACAAAAACACGCGTCGAGCTGATGTAAGAATTTTATTCAGCGCTGCTCATTTTAACAGTCATTAGGATGGGTTGATCTTATTTTTTTGACATTTAACCAACATTGCATAGGGTTAGGATTAGCATTTTATTAGTTACATATATTACTATATGCTACTGCTTACAGTACCTAGGTCTTATTCAGGAACTCTATTTTAAAATTAAATAGTGCCTATAGTTATAATCCCGGATCTTATTTATGAAGCAGATTGGTAGTGATACCCGAGTCTTAATTATAGGGGTATTATTTGAGGATACTATAAGCAGTGGCATATAGTAATAGTAAATTTTCACCCATGTGATGTCAGTTAAATAGGTGTTGGTATTAGGGCTAGAATTTGACTAGTTATATTATCACTTTATTTATTTAATTTTATTTATTTATTTTTATTTATTTATTTTATTTATTTTTTAATACTTTTTATAAAAAATGTCTCGTTGAGTAGCAGCATATAAATATCTGCATTCAAAAAAAGACAGTCATATTATGTCATATGATTTGGATGAAATGAAAGAAATCTTAGGAACTTGTGATGCCTATTCGCCCGAACTATCTAATGCAGATAACGAAATGGATGAAGAAGAAAATATATACATTAATATATGTGACTTGTCATGGAGATCACAAGAGGTACTGAATTTTTAATATTTGTAAATATATATCTGATATAGAGTGTCCAGACTTATGCAATTTCAGGGATTTTTCATTGTTCAAACAATGAAAAATTCCCGAAATCACATAAGTCTAGACACTTTAATCTAATATTACAGTATAATATTCAAACTTAGTGTCTTTTTTTACATTAAAAACATAGTTACGTGAATTATTTCATGATGTTTTTGATACCATTATGGTTCCTAAATATAAATGACTATGATGGCGTATATCTTTTATATTAACTGAACCACCACCTGAAGGTTTTCCAGAGTGGACAATAGTTAATGAGGAAGAAGAGAAACAAGAGGAGGAATGAGAGGAAGAAGAGGAAAGAGAGAAAGAAGAGGAGGAACGAGAAAAAGAGGAGAAACAAGAGGAAGAAGAGGAAAGAGAGAAAGAAGAGGAGAGAGAGGAGGAAGAGGAGGGAGAGGAAGAAGAGGAGAGAGAGGAGGAAGAGGAGGTGGAGAAAGAAGAAATGAATAAAAAAAAAAGAAAATAAAAAACATGATATCACCACTCCAATTGAAATACCTAGAAAGAGACAAAAAAAATAAGTTAGCAAATCATTGCAGCATTGTAACCATAAACACAAAACAAATAAAACCAGTTGCTTTATTTTGACTTCTTTTTTTTTTTTTTTGCTTGCCTTTGACTAGAGGTGTTTCTGTTCACCAGGGTTTATCTTATTGACTTTGATTTGATTTTTTTGTGCTTTTAGGTGATGTCGTTTGGAGTTGTTATTATTGGAGCAATCTTTGGTACGATTCTGTCATCATCAATGAGTTTTTGTTGCTTTCGGAGTCATCATTGCGAGTCTTTCGGCATCTTTAACCTAATTTATCCTTAACACTTACAGTGTATTACCGCAAGTAGGTTTCTTAACATTTGAATTTCTTGTTAATTAATGATAACTTTCAGTATAAACTAACCCAATCACACTGTAACATAATTTTTACAGTAATCATGATAAAAATCATGATGATTCCAATACAAATTAACTCAACTTTAACTATACACACCGTGTGTACCGGTAAGTTCTATAACAGTAACTCATGACAATTCCAATATGAACCAACTCAAGCTTAACAACATACTGTGTTACTAAATAGCAAGTAAGTACTATACCAAAATTTTTATAGCAACTCACAATATAAATTACGATAATTCTAATAAAAAATAACTCTACCTTAATTGCACATTGTAAGTCATCAGAATAGCGAACAGTAGAATTTTTACTGTAACTCAAATATCACTAGAATAGCGAATAAGTTTGCAAATAAATTTTTAGTAACTAACGATAGAAATCACGATAGTTTTAATGCAAACTAACTTAATCACATACTGTTGTCAGAGTTGAAATCAGTTGGTCAATCGTTCTACAGCTATCGGGTAACCGACCAACAGAATACCGAGACAAAGATCGAAAGAGACATGTTAGATTTGGACGAGTGGCTAATAAAAGAATGTATGTAGTTGGTAGGGTATGTTCATATGACTTAGGTGTTTTGTTATTTAGGTAAAACGTGAATT